TACGATCTAGGCGTAAGTGGATTCCTCGTAGTTTTGCGTATTCTTCGTTCTATCCTTCCTAGTACAATGTTTCTGCGATTCAAAAATGATCCCTCAATTTTTCTTGTTGGAGTGGAAAGAGATTTACGGACGAAGCTCTCATCAGAAGCTTTTTTATTGCATTCTTCTTTTGTATTTACATTATTTTCTACCAATTTAGACTTATTTTTGACATTTTCGCCTCCTTTCAAGGTGGCGGAATCAAGATGCGTAGGTGCCGTACTTGGTTTCCTCGCTAAGAAAATTGTTTTATACCTCTGCCTCCCCTTGCGGGATAACCTGCTAGGAATTCCCACTGTAGTTTTGCGACAACTTTTACGTTTTGAAACAATTTCCATCTCATCGTTTAAAGGTTCCAGATTAAGAATTCTTTGTAATTTAGTCTTTTTTCGTGCAATAAAAACTGTAAGTTCTTTTCTGGAAATTTTGAAAGGTGGTCTTTTTCCATATATTTTGAGTATCAATCGGGCTATGGCCTTCACTACGACCTCTACTGTTACTTCTTTTCCATCATATGTCAAAATCCCACTGTTTTTCCTTTCAGAGGACGCCACTGTTTTCTCATCAGTAGGATGAATTTCTAAAGTTCCTTTTAAACGTACTTTTCGAGCATTATGAGCGCTGTCCGCTTGCTTGTCAAGTGCATTGAATACCAGATGTGCAGACGAAGTTGTGGGACGAAGTCTAATGCTGACAAACTCAGCAGGGCCGAGGTTTAGCTCTTCTGATATGTATTGTTGCACTTGTTTGATTGCGTTTACCACATCGTCTTTTTTGAATTTAATACAAAATCCTTCTTTTTCACATGCACCTTTTTCCATGTTCTTCAAAATTGCATTAGCTAGATCATTGATTGTAACTTCTTTTCCCTTGAATGTCTGTGTCGCAATAGATTGTTTTTCTTGCTCTGCATTTTCATCATCCTCGAAGTCATTTCCTGTCTCGTCTGCATCTTCGAACTCAACGTTTTCTATAGTAATACGAGAGCTTTGGTCTTTAATAAGGTAAACAAATGGTTTCTCCGATGAACATGTACTGTTCTCACTCATTTTATTCTGCATTTGCGCGAATATATCCTGCATGAACGTTTCAGATTGTGCCACGTCGTCATCATGCTTAGCTGGCGGCAATCGAGTGTTAGGAGATGATGGTGAAGAGGACGAAGATGATGGTAGCTGCTGACTTCGTCTGAGACTTTTCCGTTTTCTTTCCTTCTTCCATCGACTGCGTCGTTGTCTTATCACTCTTAGTGCATTATCGTAGAGATCTGTAAGATGAGTGTGAAAGAGCAATCGATCACGGTTATGCTT